GCCGGCTAGAGCCCGGATCACGTGAAGAGCCGGGGCCTCAGGGCACCGAGGCAGTTGGGGGCCGGGACCTCCCCTCTCCCGGCGGCCGCCCCCGCCCCCCCCCGCTCCGCCTCGCACTACTCACCCCGGGCGGGGGCTCCCGGGACGCGGGAGAAGAGGACCAGAAAGAGGAAGGGAGGGCGGCGGAGGCGAAGACCCCACAAACCCACAACCAGCTCCGTCAGACCTCGGCCAAAAGCGACACCTCGCGGCTGGCGCCGCCTTTGTCCGCTTACATCACTTCCGGGCGCCTGGAGGGGCGGGGCCGAGGCGGGCTCCGCCCCGTGGGCTGGGAACCTAACGCGAGTTTAGTATCGGGAGAGCCTCGTAGTCTTAAGGAGACGGCCGCTGTGCAGACCCTGTCCCGCCTCCAGCTTGCGCATCAGCTCTTTTGGAGGCGGCGAGGCTGGACTTTTAAAAATGAGCCTTCTGTGGGTTTCCACTGGGTAAAGAGGGGGAGGGAAAGTTTCATTCAAGCCTTAATCCGACCCGTAACAATGAACATCTTTAAATAATGCACAGAAAGAAAGAAAGAAAGAAAGAAAGAAAGAAAGAGAGAGAGAGAGAGAGAGAGAGAAAGAAAGAAAGAAAAGAAAAGAAAGAAGAGAAAATACCTCTGGCAGTGCCATGAGGTTGCCACTCCAAATAAAAAGAACAAGTCCATTAAGTTTCCATTCCAAAAAGGTTGCCTCCCCTAATCTCCCATACACAGAAATTCTAGAGAGTTCCCTGAAGCAGCCTTGATGGAAATGTGAGTTTGCAGATAGGTAGACCTTGTGAACCTCTTCAAGCCTCGGTATCCTTTTCTGCCGGATATGTGTAATAATTACTCACCTTCCAACATTTTGAGGGTTAAATTTGTGGGACATTGTGCATCAAGCCTTCAGCCCTGTGCTTGGCGCGAGCTCTCAGTAAATAGAAGCTGCTTCATAAAATTCACCACAATATTCATATGTATCATAATAGTCACAATATTCATCATAAGTTCTTTTTTCCTAAACTGACATCCTGACTTAGATTTACAGTGATTTCCTCTGGGCGTTCCACACCAGGTGCTTAAAGTGTGTTGCTCTAATGAAATGAAAGCTATGGTGAGGGGTGCACTGCAAAGGGTCACCTGCTGTTGAGTCCCCCAAATCTGTCCATATTTTTGGCACCTCTGAAGTACCTCTCTAGGGTACTTTAGGTTCGACTTGGTCCCCCTGGCTTGGGCCCGTCTCCCAAGCATCATTTTCCACGTCTCTGTGGCAAGGGGATAAACTTGGACAATTTCAATTGCTGGAGGTATCTGTAATATTTGGGGGGCAGCTCTGAGCCTAGCTCTTTTAGGGGCACCTAAAAATCCACCCCTAACTTTGCTTCCTGTCAATGGAAGACAAAGTCCCTTCCCTACACCTGGACTCCAAGGCCTTTTGGGTCTGGCCAGCCTGCTGACCTCACAGCGTCTTGCATCTCTGAATTCCCAAACCTTGCACATAGTATTGTTCAATAAATGTTTGCAGCAAGTAAGGGTTGGCGGGCTTCTTAGAAATCATCTAGTTAGTCTGGTGTTTCAAGAGCCACAGATGGGGGCCCAAAAGTCCATTTCACCATGGAGCCCTGAGAAAGGAGAGATTTATCCAGAATCACACAGCAGGCAGGAGCAGAGGGTCAACTCAGAACTGGTTCTCTTAGTTTCCAGGTGCACAGCATTCTTACTGCCCAGCCTTCTAGTGGAAGTTTCAGAGCCACCCAGCCCAAACGTGACCCACCTGAGCCTCCCAGAACCAGAGGGGTAGCCGAACCCTGGTTCCTTCTTCGCTGGCTTGGGCCTGGCTGCCCTGGCCAGGAGTCCCACGCCCTCTTGTGACTGCAGCCTTGGCATCCTGAAAACAGCAGCCCCGCCCTCTGCCCCTAGCCTCACTCCCGCTTGGCCTGGGGTGAGGGGCGGATCACAATGACTGAAGAGGCCCTAGAGGCAGCAGGGAGGAGCCCGCGGAGGGACCAGGCCAGGAAGATGGGCTCTCCCAAGGACCAGCCCACCTGTTAGGGGGGCTCTAAATTCAGGGAACTGTCTCTGGCCCTGCGTCCAGACCCCACTGCGGTGAGTGTGACACTAGAAGACAGCTCAGAGCTGACAACCATCTGGGAGTGGGGTATGGTAGGGAAGGAGCTGGCTCTGAGACCCCAGTGCCAGAAGCTGGGGGCGGTCTGGGGCTCTGTTTCCCAAAGAGGAAGTTTGTTAAAAAATAAGCGTCTTGGCCCCACCCAGGACCCCGTGAATCAGAATCTGGGGTATCTGTATTTTCAAGAAGTTCCCACCCACAAGAGGCTCTGGGCCTCCAGCAGGACTGGGCAGCTGCAGGGCAGGTCACCCTTTCAAGCTGGTTCCAGGTTCCCGATTGCCATGGTAGCGCTGGTAACAGTAACAGGACGTTAAACCCTCCAAGTGCTAAGTGCTCCCTACTACGTGGTGCTATTTCACGCTCAAAAGGACTCCGTTATCCCCATTCTACAGATGAGGACACTGAGAGAGGTTAATTGCCAGTCTTGCCCAAGGGCACAGCTAATAAGTGGAACTGAGAGTAAATCCTAAATAACTTCTTAAAAAACGATAATAATGTCAGCTAGTCTTTGTTGAGCATGTACAACGTGCACTATTCTAAGCCATTTACGTGGGCTCGCTCATTTAAACGTCACAGCAACTCAAAAAGGTGGGTACTCTCGCCGTCACCGTTTCTCAGGTGAGGAAACAGAGGATCGGAGCGCTGTAGCCGGGAGCCACTTACTACTGTCTGGCGAGCTAGTGGTGGTACCCCCCAAAACCAGACTGCCCCGCTCTGGGCGCTATGGCCTGGGGGCTGGTCTATGCCCGCCTCTCCACTTCGCACGGCACCCCCCGCCCCCACAGGCGTGAGGATGCCCTGAGCTGAGCGCAGGACCAGACATGCCCCGGCGTCACCCCCGCTCCTGGGCCCAGCAGGTGGCGCCCGAGGGGCTCCCCGGCGATGGCGTTCGCCGAAGGAAAGACCCGGGGCTGCCCAGGCTACTTCTGCCCGAGCTCCGAGCATCCTCTGGCGTGCGGGGCTTCTCCTGGGGGTCGAGGGCCTCGGGGAGCGGCGCCGACTGGTGGGAGGACGCGGGGTGTGAGGCCTCGCACTTAGATCCCGGGGTGGGCGTCAGGCGCTCCCGGCCGCGCCTGCCCG